CTGCCACCTGAAAAAGATGGATGCTTCTTGAGGACTAACTGAACAAACTGGCAAAATGTCTCGCCCCGAAGAGAGAGGTGTTCTTTTAGTGGCCTGCTGGAATGGAGGTGGTGATACTGACATGCACTGCACGGAATCTTTCCCTGTGTAATTCACAGCTTGATCGAGTTGGACACGGAAACCTTTAGAGCAGGGCTGTGTTAACATCTGAGGATATCTTTCTTGGCATCCGAATCTTTTTGATTTTAAAGTTTTACAACCGGGGGCGGGGGGCGGTCTCCTTAGCAAAAGTCAAATAGGGTTATTTGTTTTGGACTTGTTTCTTCGCTTCGTTCTAAGAGGACAGTCCGTAGCACGTGTGATGGATTCAAAATGGATTTAAGGGTGAGAAAGTAAGGACTGTAGGTGGGATCCAGGAGATGCCGGGAGAGAAGAGGTAGGAGAAAAAAAGATATGGGGCAGACGGGGGACGTTGGAAGATCATCAGCTACTACTGGTGCTCTTAATGAAACTGTTCTGGGAAAAAACGTTAGAAAATGTCTTTGTGCCTACAGTAGAAGATAGATTAAGTAAGTTATGATCTGAATGTCTGCAAAGGAGGAAGGCTCAACATTTTTATTTTTCTGACATGAATCTTATAGGTGCACATGCAAACGAATATAGGCAAAAATGTAAAAAGCTACACACATACGTGGATGTGCCACTGTGTGTGTATCTGGGTGCACACACATGCATATGTGCACGTTAAATAAATGAATCCATGTATAAAGGAACTGTGCTATAATAATATTGATTAGCAGAACTAACCCTGCTTCCTGCCAAGTCTACCCCAAGGACAAACTAGAGCCTATTATTTTAAATTGTGGTGAAATTCAGCAGTGCATACACACAAGAAAAGATAGTGCAAATGGGAAGCTAACCATAGCCTCACCGCGGATGACTGACTGTCCTGGGGACATCAGGTCCTCACTTGCTATCCCTTATTTAGCTCATAAGAAAATAAGGCATAAAATTAACCTATCCAAGGCATGGAACCATCCCTGCCCAACTTAATGGGCAACTAACTAATCCAAAAGGAAAACTGCCATTACTTATACAGCCATAATGTAGATACAACGTGGCATATAAATCAGTAACTCTTGTATTGCAAAACAGACAAATAGATTAATGCATGTTGCAAAGGATGGGTGAAGAGATCGATTAGGTTACTGATTCAGACCATGAACTTTCTCTCAATATACTGCATTTAACTTTTAAATAAGGTTTAGGAGAACCTGTAACATTTTGCTCACTGACAGAGCGATATTTTACTTAGGGCAGAAATTGGCTAGTCTATAAAAATTAAATTATGCCCCTTTCACTGTATCTAGTCAAGAGGAAAAACTCTAATTACAAGATTGCACTGTCAAACAAATGCAAATTCACATTCTTTATATCCTGGTTTAAAAATTCATATGGGGGGAGCTTCTATTCTGAAATGAGAATATTTGAAATATTTTTAGGAGTGCCGTGATAAGCAAGAGCAAAAGAAATGTCATTATCAAGGGTGCTGGTAAGTAGAAGCTAACTCATTAAGAGCAAAACTTGTGAGAACAAGTCATCTGTTATGCAAACATTTAAATAATCAATTAGTAAGTACAATGAAAGAAGGCTTCCCTTCCCCAGAGCCCAGTGCCTTATTACTCCAGAAATGACCAAGGGGAAAAAGAGCAGCGGGAAATAATCTCCGCACCTGATAGGAATGCCACTCTGGGGAATAGGTAAAGGTTAATTTTAAATGTACTTCCCAATTGAAAATTAAATGTACCTGCCTCAAAATTCATAAGCGCTGAGTGTGCAGACTTAATCCAGAAAGGACTAACTAAAGGCCTGAGCATACTGCATCGCTGGTATTTTTTTGGAAAGAGAATGCCTTTCATCACTGCTTAATGTCAAACTTGCTTGGTTCATTAAAATCTCTTAGTCTCTTAAAACCATGCTTTTCCTAGACTTATGAAAAATGCCAGTCCATATAGCACTAGGCTTCAAAAATCCTACTGGCTGGTTCTCATACTCATTTAATATCCATTTCGTGGCCTGTCCAATCACCCAGTTCACTAAGCCTTTAAAGTGAATATGCTGGACATGAAGACCATCTAAATCTTTAGCACTCTGCCTGAATTCTCTTTTCAGGCAAACCTGGTGGCAGGTTTTACTATATAAGGTGCTGGCTCAGGAAAGCGGGTGCCTCTTGGTAATATCAGCTGGTGGATGTGGACCAGGTGTGTAACTTTTCTGGCCCTGGTCTCCCTCCTCTAGAACCCAAAAAAGTCAGTCCAGATTCAGGGCACCCCAGAGTCACTCGGGGAGCTTCGAAAGGACCCACGCGCAGTACTTCACAGACTTAGTGAACTGGCTTGCTTCTTCAAGGGTGAGGGGAGGCATGTGGATCGCAACAAAACTTCCAGGATGATTCTGATCTGCACCCTTAACTCTGAGTCACTGGGCCCTTTCAGATCTAATGCACTAAGATTCTCAGAACAATTGGTTACTGATCCAATGAAAGTAATTCTGACTTTGGTTCTTAATAGGAGCATGTAACAGGTGTGACTTTTTTTTTTCCCCTAGAGTGGAAAAACTACCCCTACAGAATTAAATGCTGGGGGATTGAGGCCTGGGGGAATAAGGGGTGCAAAAGAAGACTACCAGATTTCATGAGCTGCTCCACAGAGAGCACCCAAGAAAGGACCTGCCACGCAGGGCATGCACACCCTTACGACTGTGATGACTGCACTGCCTGTGGTCACGTCTGGTCAAACCTTAGTTTGGCTCTCCCATCCCTGCCAGCACGAAGAGGGTTAAGAGTCACTTACATTGACTGGTCTCACCACTGCATGGGGATGAAAATGGAAGTGCCTTGGGAGTAGCACACCCCAGGCACTGTTCTTCTGACGCAGGAATGTGCATTTGGCTGACTTCTACTGAATTCAGGCTTAGAAGGTGTGTCCCTCCCCTTCTAACAGGACTTTCCTTGGAGTCCATCAACTGTTTCTGTTTTTCAGACTTCACAATTGGGGTTGCTTTATTATTTCACTCACTGTCCACCCTCTGGCCTCTGACATATGGCTGGAGGAGCCTAGTTTGGAGAGAAGGTGCCCATCTTGATCCAGTGAAGAGCAACTTCAGGCCTGGCGCTTAGAGACTGGGTGCTAAACGTTCCCATAGATAGGATCGGCATTATAATGCGTGCTCTGCCTTTTTTACATTATTTGGAGGAGAGAATAAAGCAAGAAGAAAAACAGCACTTGGAAAATGGAGTGTGTGGTATTTATCTTACATACACTTCTAGAGAGGAAGAAATCTCTCTCTGAAAAAGGACACCTCATTTGGCTGTAGTTTGGTTCATATCTTTTCCTCTCCTTGTCTCAACCATATCCCAGAGGATAAACCATGATACCCAGATAAGCAGTGGCCTAGAGGATCCCGAGGAAGTTCCTAATGTGTCCACAGTTTATCCTTATTTTTTTCCGGCTCTAAACTACCGCCTGGAAGAAAGCTGCAAATATTTGAAAACAAAAACAAAAAACACTAAAGAGTTCAGAATGATTCCAACTGAAGTCACAGCAGTTCCTCTGGTAAGAAGGCAAACTTTTGCTCAGGTAAAATGCTCAGGAATGAAACACAAGGAAAAAAGAAACAACTCATCAAAATCATAGCTGTCAATCTTAGCTACAGTATCGTCACTAAATTTTGTTTGGCTCTTGTAATAGACCGAATCCCAGGACAAATGACAAAACAACGTGTGCTGCTTTTCTTGGGACAAGTTATTCTTGAGAGCAATTCGGTCTCAGACTTCCCCAAAGAGCGATTTTGGTGGAAAGAAACCACGCCCAATGACCTATAAGGAACAGCTTTTAAAACCGCGCAAGCACACCGCATCATGGCACAGTGATGAGCTGACTCTCTGCTCCTCCAATATCCCTGTGCTTGGCAACAGGGCATGTCCAGGCCCCTCCCTGACAAGAAACTACTTTTCCAAGATGCTGCCTTGAAAACTGGAGCCATTCATTTGCTAGTGGATTAAGAGAATCACTTCACAGATTTAATCCCTTCAACCAAAAGCTCTGTGGGCCCCACAGTTCAGCAAACTCAAGGGGGAGGAAGCACTTGGGTTCAATCCACATCAGTCACCACATGATGCTATTGCCCCTATTTTTATTATCCTGAAAAGGGCAAGGTCTCCCTTGATGGGTTTGACCTTGGAACTGAAGCTAGAGTTCCACCCATTTCCCCCAAGTTTCAGGTGCACTTGTAGGGGACTCTGATGTCTGGTAAGACTATTGGGAGGGGCTGGGGAGGTCCAGGTCAGGGAGAAGACTCTGGTCAGCTGGAGTTAAGTGAGGTTTGCTCTCCCAAGACCCCCTTCTCTGCAGAGAGCCCAGCACCTCTCATCAGCCAGCCAGCAGCTAAGCTTGTGGGGCTGGGAACTACATTCCTTTGAACAATCTTGGCAATTGGTGCCCGGAATTTGATGCAGTAGCTCTGAAATTAAATAAAGATCCTGTAGTGTTCTTCTAAGAAATATGGTGTGGCTCTATGACAAAACACATTTTTCAAGCTCTGACCTCTGGGAACTTCAAGTGGCTTCATATTTCAGGCTGACATTGCTCACAGGCTACTGTCTAGTTGCCCAAGCAGAGCTGGTTATCCATATATTTTCCAGCCTCCTGGTCAGCTTTTAGCAGAGGGAGGTGAGGGGAGTAAATAAAAAGAGAAGAGCCACTAATTTAAATGCATGTCCCTCCTGAGTCCCTTGGGGAGAAGCCCTGGTAATTAACTCTAATGAGATTAAAGTAACTTGGAACTCTTCATTTTGCCAGCACTGTAAATCTGTGATAACCAGTGTGTGTGCATTAAATCAAAGTCAGTCCCTTTTCCTGTAATGTAATGCCCCCCCCTCCCACCTCCAACTCCTACCCCTGGCTGAGGCTGGAGAGGGGTGGGGGCTACCGGGTTCTTACCTGCACTTTGCTCCATCACTTCTTTCTGACACATGTCTTGAACATTGACCGTGCAATTCACGATGAACTCGGGGGAGGAGCAGTCGTTGTTCAGCTGGAATTCTTCACACTGATAACACTGGATTTGCAGCGCAAAGCCTGGGGCGACAGACGCAGTCGGGGTCAGATCCAGCCCCCACAGAGACCACACCGGAAACCGCGACCCTCCTCGGCCCCAGCCAGCCACGGATCCCGATCCCTGGCGTTCTTGGGCTCGGCGACCCGGGGGTCTCCATGTAAGGCGGCTGTGGCTGAAGCCGGCAGGGGGCGGCGCGGACACCGAGGGTCCCGCAGGATTCAGTTGAATTCTGCCTGAGACCCCTGGACCAAATGCTCCAGAAATAAAGCGCCCGTCCTACAGCGCGCCTGGCCTTTCCCCCACGGAAGTTGAAAGGACGGGTACACAAGTAGCTCCAGAGACAAGCTTCAGCTCCAATCTACAGCACAGGATCTGCCTAATTGTTAATTGGTTACAAATTACTTAATTACTATTTTGGCACCATTCGCGATTGCATTCGCAGACGCCTTTTTAGTTTTAATTTCTGTCGTCAGCGTTCCTGTGCTGTGGCTCCGAGGCTCCTTAACGCGACCACCCAGGAACCCAGGAGGCAGTGTCGGGCGCCAAGTGCTGAAGCGCCGCGAGTCCCCGGCCTTCCTTCGGGACAGTCCCCGCAGCAGCAGAGGGGACCACAGCGTGTACAAGGGGCGTGTGTGTGTGTCTGTGTGCGCGCGCGCACCCCGAGCCGCGACACAACCACCATTTCTTCCTGGCTTTCAGGGCAACCGTTTGGCTAGGGTCCCCGGTCGGAGTCCCGGCTCTGCAGCGCTCGTTCGAGAGCCGTTCGCTCACCTGGGAGGAGTGAGACATTTTCGCACTTCTCATCGCCCCAGCCTGGCTGCTCTGCTCGGATCTAGGAGCTCCTGTCTAGACCTAACTCCCCATGCTCCCGGACAGACAAGCCCCGGACCCCGCGCTTTCTCCCATCTCCACGTCGATTGCGCTCTAAGCGCGGCAACCCAGCTCCGGAGCGCCCCGGCCACAGGCTGCCCAGCGCGCCGCTCACCTGTCTGCGGCGCCACTCCCACCGGTTCCTGGAAACGCCTGGTAACTTGTTGGGGTCGGGGGCTTCATCGCCCCCTCTCCCTCCGCGAGGCCCCAGCACCGCTCAGACCCTCCCTCCTCCCCACCTCTGCTTCCTCTCCCAACCGCGCAAGCCCGAGCATCTGCAGCTCGAGTCCCGCAAATCCGCCGCTCCCGCCTCTCCTCCTGCAGCGCGGGACTTGGAGACTTTCCCATCTAGCGCCCCTGGGCACCAGTACCAGTCGCCGCCGCCAAACTCCCGCTGGGCAACCCCTGCGCAGCGCGGGCCCGGAGGTGGGTGCCCGGGGGAGGGGGGGCGAAGGGGCGGGCGGGTAGATGGGGTGTGCGCGCCTGGCGGGGCTGCTGGCCTTTTCGTTTTCTTACCTTGAAGCAAGAACAATCCGCAAAAAGTTGCTGCGATGCCGAGGACCCACATCCTCCCGGAACGCGGAGCCGGGAGAGGGCAGGCGCATCAGAGGCGGCGACCGCGGCGGAGGCTGCCCGGGCCGCAGCGGCTGTGGCTGCCGAGGCTGCTTGGGCCCGCGCTCCTGCCGCCGAGGCCACCGCCGCCGCCAAAAGGAGCTGCAGGTGCCGCCGGCGGCGCCAGCATCGCCCGTGCCCGGGCTCCCGGCTGCGGGTCGCCGCTCCTCCCGCTGGCGCTCCCGGGCAGAGCGCGGCGTCTCCGGAGTTGGCGGCTGAGAACTGGAGGAACTACTGGCGAGCCGGAGCACCCAAAAAAGTCTCGCCTCTTCTCCCCACCTCCCACTCCAGGCACCACGTGACGGCTGCCGAGTTGGGGTGGGGGTGGCGGGCGAGGAAGGCTGGGACCGTCTTTTCACGTCCCCACCCCCCTTCCTATCGCCCTCGTCTCCCGCCTCCGCACGTCCCCAGGACAGGGACGCCAGGGGGAGAGGGAGAGTGTAGTTTCCCGAGGTTGGGAGGCTGGGGATTGGGAAAGCGCGAGGAGGGCGCAGCAGGTGCCGCGGGGACTGGCCGGGCGCTGACTGCGGGACCTGCGAAGTGGGGTCGAAAGACTGCGTGCTCAGCTGGGCCCTGCGTCCCCCGGGGCTGCCCACTCGGCTGAGGTTGCCGCGAGGCTGGCAGCGGGAGCCCCGAGCCGGGGGCGGCTGGCTGGAGGGGGACGTGCTCGCGTGCGCCTGGCAAAGTTGCACACCTGCAGGCTCTCTGGGGTGGCCGGTGCAGCTGCGTCTTTTTGTTTTTCTCCGAGAAGCCCCTGGTTCAAGACCAGGCTTGGCTTCAGCTGCGGCAGGGTGGGCGGGGTGTAGTGAGGACCCTGCTCTGACCCGCGCGTTTGCCTCGAGCAGCCCTCCTTCCCCCGCCTGCGCGCACAGCTGGAGGGTGCAGTGACACCGCGACGGTAGCCTAGCCTAGGACAGGGCGGTGCCCGGGGACAACTGTCGCGAGTTCCCACCGGAAAGCAAATCGGGGTGAAGAAGGAAATTGCTCTCCTCTATCCCCTTTCTCCAGAAGGCCCGGCAGCTTCATCGCCTTAAAGTCACGGATTATTAGTACATACTCCCGTGTCCTCTCCTGTGCAGCGCCTTCACAGCCCAGGACTCAGTCTCAGGCTGCCCGGGGCCCCTCTTTTAAGCCCCCGCCCCATTCCCCCGCCTCAGTCAAGCGACCCACCTTAAGTGCTCCCGGGACGCCACGGTGCTAAGTTCGCCTTCCTTGGAGCCGAGCCTTCCAGCAGGTGGTGCGGGAGTCTCTGCGTCCCCGCCCTCAACCCCGCACGTTGCCACCCCTGTCCCCTCAGTCCTTGGGGAGAATCCTGTGGAAAGAGCTTCATAAGCTTTGCCCCTCTTCACCCTCGTGCGCTTGGGCCACCCCCTGGAGGAATCTCTCTCAGGCCGGGACGCTGATTATTTATTTCCCCATTCTGCCAGCAGAGTGGGTCTGGAAATGGGCTTAAATGACTTTCTTGTAATTCCTTTGCAGAGGTCGTTCCAGGTCTGCCTCAGGCTCCTTCTCTCCCATTGACCCCCACCCCCTTTCATTTCTAGTTGGTTAACCCCTCGGGGAGACTGAATGCTTTGACCATGACCTGATTCTCTGCAGACTCTGATCTTAACAATTGGCTGAATTACTATCTCTGGAGCAAAGGGGCCAGTTTATTTATTCCTTCCGGGAACTGATTGTTGTAGCCCCTGTGAGAGTCAACTAACTGGGCCAAAGGGTTCTTGAACAAGTCCTTTTAAGACTTCAGAGGGTGCAACTGTGATACGACTTTTATTCAGAAATGAAACAAGGATTTTTAAAAGTCTGACAATGATACTTTACATAATTTTCATTTAAGATAACAAAATTCAATATAACAAATTGCACAAATTAACCAAATAACACTGGTTATACAATGCTCTTTTAATAAACAAGTGTGTACTGAAGTAACCATATAGATCCTAAAAATATTTCTATTAGGCCTAGTTTACAAGCTCCTGTACAAAAGCAATTATAAATAGTTCACATCTAGAAAAAATACAAATAACCTTTAAAATAGAATTTGTCCTCACATATAAACAGAATTTGTAGGAAAAAAAGGATCTTAAAAAGTAAGATTTCTTTTTTGTAGCACCAACCATTCATTTTATTTTTTAAAAAGTGAACGTTACAGATAGGAATTTGCTTTCATTTCTAGATTGCCCAGATTTTAATCGAAAGAGCAGGAAGATAAAAATCAACAAACGCTGTTGAGAATTATAGAGAAGCACTAAGTAGAAGAAGATGTAAGGAAATGTTTGGAGGGAAAACCTGCTGTTGAAAATAGAATTAGGTCACTTCTGATCCACTTCCCTTCTCATCACTGTCACACTTTGAGTACCTGTTACATTTTTCAACGGAAGCATAATTAACACTTACTGGAACCTGAATCTCTCTGGCAACAATTTTGAAATAGCACTGGAATTAACGTTCATATCATGTTGAGATTGTGAGTTGGAGATGACCACGAGCCCTCTGGTTTTTGGCGGGGCTGTTTTAGCTTTACAGAATGTTCCCACAAACAACTGGAGTACTAGGACCGTGAAGTCAACAAACACCTTCGCTGGAATTTTTAAAAAATATATTATCAACTTCTAACACTGAGTACGTCATTCAAGAGCATGGCACGGATTCAATTTATTGCTGTCTTTTTTTTTTTTTTTGCTACAAATATAATTTCTTTTCCAAAAATTTACAACTTCTGTACAAGTATTCAAAAAAAAGTGCAAAATTAAGACTTCTGTATTGTGGGTGTGTTTACATTTCAGCCTCGTGACATACAACAAATGGAGCCTATCTTTATTGCCCTGTCAGAGAAGGAAGCTCCCATGGGTTGCTTGCTGTGAATCCGACAATGCAGTCTCTGGTGTTGCCAGGGTTTACTGGTGCTATCTCTATTCCCCTCCACACACACCCCTGTTGCTTAAGTGCTCCATTTTCAGCTCACTAAGGAAAAAAAAAAAAGGTCCTTTATACATCATTTGAACCCTGACTTGCACAAGAAGAGAAGCTATCGTATAAAGAATCACTCAGTGATTCCAAATTGTCTACCCCAGGCCTCTCTGAGCTCCTCAAAGATGCCTCTTCATTTTTTTCTTTTTCTTCCTTTTGTCCTTCAACCTCGTTCAGAGAGTTCTTCTCTCTTTCTAACAAAATCATAGTTTTGCTGTTATATTTATTGAATGACTCCAGGGAAATTTTACATAATCTGTTCTCAGGATCTTCTTTTGTTTCTTCAACCTGTTTCAATTTCTGTAATAAAAAGACGAAAATATTAGAGACATATTTCTTTGGAAAATCAAGTTATTCTATCCAATATTCAATTATTGTCTGCATAACGTGCAGTTTAAAGGGATAGAGAGAACCTACAAGTCTTTAACAACCTTCTAGTATAATTAAAGGTAATAATAAAGCCAATTTTAGGGATAAATCAAGACTTTAATCGTTTTAGTGAGATAAATAGGTCCCGATTTGCAAACCGGTAAAGTGCCACTTAATTTCATTTTAAATGGATCTACTCAAAATCTGTTCAGGTAAAGTGCCTTATATGTCTTCATCAAAGTTTCAAAGTCCTCTCTTTTCTTACTAAGTATTATTAGTTGTCTTGTTTCTAGATATGGATAGGGATTGAATTTCAGCCAGAAGTTGGGGTTGTGTGGGGGGGAAAAGGCATACAATCCCTTAAATTGCCATGAAATTTCAGTACCTGTTAGCCTTGTCAGAAGCATTGTCATCTTTCTTTTTTGTCCCTTTACAAGTCTTAAGATATTTGCAAGTGATCTCCAGGTCTGTGGGTGTAGACTCCAGAAAGCCCAACGGCTTAAAAAAAACATAGTAATACTTCTGCCCATTAGTAACCTCTCCCCTCCAGGAGGTTCCAGCAAGATCAATTACTGGATGTCTCTAGGACTTTCTAGAACACTGCAGTCATATTCAATTATTCAATTATTGTAGGTAAACTCTGTAAACCAATGCATTTCCTAGCTTCTTTTCCTCTTTTGGGCAAAAATTCTATCCAAACACCAGGAGGAAGTAGGGACAGGAGCTTAGAAGTAATAACAGCTACCATTTATTAAGCATCCACCATATAAAACTCACTGAATATATTTTCTTTAGAAGCATTTCACAGGGGACTTGCAAGTTACACATCCTCATTTTAAAAAGATGAAAACAAGGCTCAGAGTGACAGAGTTATTTGCCCAAGGTCACACAGCAAGTGACAGAGAACAGGATTTGAATTCCAGGCTGGCTGCCTTCCATGCTCTTGTTCCTACTAATCTGTGCTTTTATGTAATAAAAGACAAGATGTCTTTTTTTTTTCCCACCCAAATATTCCACTTAAATAACTTGCCAAACCATCTCTATTGCTACCGTCCCAGACTCTGACAAAAGCAATTCTGTTCTCCAACCCGTCCCCCACATTGTTATGCTGGATGCACAAAGGTACAATGAGGAAACTGTTTTGATCCCGGGAACAACACACGTAGCCCAAGCCTCTGATTCTCATACACTAAATATTTAATAGGAAGAGAAAAGAAAAAGATATGGCAGTGGATGGCTCTGGTGTCCCAAGAGCAGACTGAGACACAGTTTCTCTTTCCATTATGGAAATGACACAATTCTGTAGGAATACTTAAAAATCATCCTTGAAGTGGTGCTTATTTCATTATACAATTAACATAGAAGAGCATTACTCACAGAGTTCATTTTCAAACTCAAATCGCTGCCTTGAAACCAGAAGCTTGAAACAAGCTAAGGAACAGATTTCTAGGTGCTTCCAGAAAAGTGGCTCCGTAATTAGGTATAACACCACGCAAAAGCCCCTTTTCATACCATGCCAATTTTTAGACTTTAAAAAGATTTATTTGAGAGAGTGAGCACCAGCTGGAGGGGCAGGGGCAGGGAGAGGGAAAGAGTATCTCAAGCAGGCTCCATGGGGAGTGCAGAGCCCGACTCGGGGTGCGATCTCACATCCTGAGATCACACCCTGAGCTGAAATCAAGAGTCAGAGGCTTAACCCACCGCGC